TTTACGTGATAAACTAATTTATTACCAGTTTTTCGAATGATGAATTTATCTCTTTCGTAAGAAGATTAAACAAAATTGCCTATTGCAAAAATGTTTTATAAGCAGAATTTAATTTCTACAAGGAAATTTCGAATTTTTTCTTCTTAAAATCTGATTTAAAGAAACTTACATTTGATTTCTTGATTATTACCAGTGGAAACGCCGCAGAAAGACGTCACTGTTTAACGAAGAAAAACACGACACTAAAGTAAATTAACCGATAAATTAGTCGAATAAAGACAAAGGTAAGAATTAATTTTGGTTAAATCATAAGCTTCTCGCCTATTAATTCATTAGAAGTAATAAGTAATTCATATATGATTATTGAGTAATAAGTAATTCATATATGTTTATTAAGTAATAAGAAATTATACAAGTAAAAGCATACAAGACATCAGTTAGCATAATAATTGTATACAATTTATAGGATATTATTAAATTCTATCAAAAATATTTCTACTGTTACCTATATATACTAATATAAATTAAACTACTTTTAGATTCATCTAGCTACTATCAATTATTTTTTTTATTCATTAAATAAATTCACTATTTTTTTACTTTTCTGGCGGTTATATCTAACAGAAGGAAAGTTGACAATCAGGCACAAAATGACCCCTCCTAGATTTTTACATTTTTAGACATTGAACACGTTGAAATGTCAAAAAATGCAAAAGATCGCGAGGGTAATTTCTGTACGTATGGATGTTAGTGTATGTGTGTGCGTGCGAGAGGCGTGTGACTCGATTTTGCTCACCCTGTTGGAAGCTTAATAACTCCTGTTCTTTTTGTCGAAAATTTCGGAAATTTTATGAGGAGGTTTCTTTATTAGCGGGATTGATACGTTTCAAATTTTACGGTTAAAGGTGAAACGAGTGGGGAAATAATGTGGACCGTGTGTATCTCCAATAGGGTTTGAATTAGTGACGATTTTACTCATTATTTACATTTACAATTTTTTTTAATATCAAACCCATTCCTATCCTCAAAATTAAGTTGTTTGCCATTTTGTAATAGTTAAAAATACACAAAAATGTAATAAAATATGATAATTGATGGAGTTACCAGAATTTTAAATGTTGCCGGGAAAGAGCAACTCTTTGCTAGTATATAACTACTACATAACTATTTTAATCATTGTTACCTGTTTTTTTTCTATTTATATAATTATCATTTATCCTCTTATTTTAATACTAAAATGTTCTAAAAGTTATCTTTTATTAAAGTTACGTTTTCTAGTAATAATATTGTAACAATTGTGTACAATTATTATGCCAGCTAATGCCTGTTTATATCATAATCATCTAAAATAAACTGACAGGAATATGAAATATTGCCGAATTTAAAAAAAGAAAGGATGTGGAAAAATATTTTATTTATGCTAATAATTAAAAATAAAAAACTTAACAGCGGTTACAAGAAATGAATACTGTATTAACATTATGTAATGTTTTAAAGTACGATTACAGTGTCTGGTAAGTTTGTTGAATTTTATATTATTGTAATGTTGAAGATCATAAAATAAAAATGAGCACCTGATAATCTTACCATGTTCAGTTCAATGAATTTTAGAATAATTTTATTATTATTGTAACATAAATAATAATTTATATGGCAGCTGAAATTCATTTATAGTTTAAAATCTTACATTTTACAAATCAGTATTTTAAATTGTAAAATGAATAATTTGATATTGTAAAGTTCGAAATCTAATATGTAACTTGGCTGAAGATATTGAAAATTGTGCCGAAAAATGCATTCTGCAGAACTTAGCGTTAATAGAGTAAGAGAAAAGAGAGTGATTTGCGTAAAATAAATTGTAACAGCGATACAAATATGCTTATATAGTTACTTATTACTCTATATTCGTTTTTTATTGATTTTTCTCGTTCGCGTTTCATTATAAAATAATCATGAATCACCAGAAAGGACTTCTTTTCAAATTATAATTATTAACGAAAATATCGGGCATGCATTCAGACTCATTTCATTTTCTGCAGCCATATTTTCATAAAGACGATTGTAGTCTTTCGAAAATCTCCTTTTCCATAGTAGATAGCACTAAATCAAGTTTCGAAGGCAAAATTTGCATTTACTGACATTATTGTCATAAACATTAGAATTTCGAGCTAACGCAATTACATTCTCTGCTATTTCCGATTTCTGCTAGAACGCAATCTTTTGTGAAAATTAATTATTAATTTCTCTATTTGTGCTTATTTTACGCACAATTAACTTTTCTGTATTTTATAATTTTTATTATTAACTCTGTAGTAACGGAATTTCTTTATAATATGCAAGGTGCGTGCACATTTCCTCACAACACAAACTTCCTGCGAAAATGAGTATTTCTTTGTTTTATTAATTAAGTTATGGCAACACTTGGGCAATTTGCCTAGGGGAAATGCCTTCCGCGAAATCTTTTTAAGGGTACTGGCCCATATTCAGGCGTAATACTACGTTCGCACGCAATCCACGACTCATTTCAATCTCGATTGTAACTGTCGCCAGTCGAACGTCGAGTTGTTCGCACAGGTAACCCGCTTGAGAATAATCCGGTTATTGCAAGCGATGATAGAACTGACAACTACGCGGTTAGTCACTTAACTCCAACAAAGTGGAAATTTTTGTTACAAATAAATACTTTTTCGCCTTATATCTAATAGACGGATTTTATCGTCTCTCCAGATGTCTTTTTTATTTCTTTGCCGATAGCCCGACACGTTAGAAGATGGCTGCGGAACACGTTCCGCAGCCATCTTCTATTTTCTCGCGCGCCTGGTATTGTGGGATATCTCTTATGACTGGATCTAGTTTCAAGAACTCTCTTCAGTAGATCGCGATTGAACCTCGTTTCAGTCGAGATTGAAACGGTCGAGAGACATCACACCACAGCATAATCGCCGACCTTGGTCACAATCTAGATCGAAATGCTCGGTGCGAACGGGGTATTACAGACGTAGAGAAAACCCGGAAAATTTACGTGGCCAGCCCGTCCTGGCCACGCGCGAACCAATATCTGGACTCCCAGGTTCAGGAAACAGAACCGCTTTGCCACTGCAGGGTCCCGAAAATGGGTATTTGCCTTTTTACATTTTATAATAGTTTGTTAGAAATGTTTTCTTGTAAAGTATTTCAATAATTAAAATATGTTTGTTGTTTCTAATGTACTAATATTACAATCTGCAATTTTAGAAAGTTTCTTACAATGCTTTTCGTTCGTAATTTATATAAAATGGTGTTTCATAAAAATATACCCTTTTTTATATTACATGTTATTCGATATTAAATTTGTATTGTGTCAACACATTGTTACTTACCGTAGAAAGATTACCGCCCAATTTGAATGAGCCATTTTATCAATATGTCGGGATCAAGTGCAACACTACGTGACTGAGACACAGAAAAGTAGGGCAGATCTTATCACGCGATTGTTGAACATTATTGCCTGCATTTGACAATGAATGCAGAAATGTCATTTCACATAAAAACAAATTATATTTCCTACATCGTTTTTCGAAAGGATTAATTTCTAAGAAGTGCATTTCATAACAGATAAGTACTGTATTTCTTTGTAGAAATGCGCTTAAAGATCACTTTTCAGTGTAATGTATTAGGTTACAAAATGATATGGTCTGGTCAGTGTGAAATATCGACTTTTGCATCGGATGCTTTTCTCTGTCACTCTAAAAGAGCAGGAAAAAAAAGTTATAATGTTCAAGCTTAGGAACAGCAATTTTTAATCCACAGTACGTTATGCAATTAGCAGAAGCTCAATCCATTCTGTCGGGAGAGATGTCTGCCAAATGCTAAACCTACCAGTATTACTAGTATTCGAGAAATGAAAAACAATAGTACAGTAGAACCTCGAAAACTCGGCTCTCGATAACCCGGCACTGCGGATAACTCGGCCACACCCTGGCAGGGCAAAAAAATCATTAGTTAATTAATTTTTATTATAGACAGCTTTATAAAAGTATAAAAGCTCTCATAAAGTATTTTTCTGAGGTCTGTCTTGTCAGATAAATTACTGTACACAGTGTATTCATTAATTTTCATTTTCATGTAGTAAAGGCTCTATGCCTTCATAAAGTACGTACTTTCCCTTTGTTTAAGGGTATTTGGGCAGTTTATTCTCTGTTATATACTCAAGTAAACAATACATACAAGTACAGTACAGTATTTTCTGAGGAAACACTCGTACTTATTTTTTTAATCCCATTCCCGATAAACCGGCATTTTCACAAACTCGGCCACTCTTCGGTCCACATTAGGCCGAGTTTTCGAGGTTCTACTGTAATTATATTTATGTTTGTATTCAATTTGGATATAAAAGTAAATAAGAGACCTACCTGTCTGTGACACCATACAAAATAAGTTTACATAATGCAGATACGTAGAAAAAGATATACATTAGAAAAAAAATCAGTTTTTGAGTGCAGACCAAAAAAATTTAATACGTTTATATTACTAGCAAAAGCTTCTTAAATTTAACAGCAAAATACTTCTAAAGATTCACGCTAAATGATATACATGAACTATTTGGTGTTGAGAAATATGCGAAAAAAAATGCAACATTGCAATAAATGGACAAATTTCAAGATACTTGTTGATTTTTCTCTGCATCAACATTGGGATAAATATGGAAATAATGAAAATTAATTGCTTCCATACAAACTCAAATAAGACTGAAAAAACATTCGAATCCTAATGTTTATCAAAGTGTGTCAAGAAATTTTTGAAATTAAAATCAAATGAATATTTCCAAAACAAATTTTTTGAAACATGTTTGATTAAAGCAATACTTGATAATTGAACTTTTTTCGAGACAATTGAAATCAAATTTGTATAATTACAGATTGAAAGTATTTTTAAATTTATTCTAATTTATAGTTTTTAATTAACTTGTAACTTAATTAATTTTTCAAAAATTGTTTCAGGTTTTAGCATAACGTTACAAAATGCTGAAAAACACGAAGTTTACGTGTGTCAGTGAAAGTCTATGCAAGTGTTTAGGAAATCTCGGAAGAAACATTGCACGACATCCGTATTATTACATCATTGTGCCTTCCATTGTCTGTGCTTTACTGTGTATTGGATTTTTCAATATGAAAATCATTCATGATATCAATTATTTGTTATGTGCTGACAGAGGAAATATTTTTGACATTCGACAATTCATAGACAAAACATTTCCAATGAACACTTCGGAATTTTACGATTTACAAAGGATAAGTCATCGTCCAGTCACACCTATGATCTACATAAAACACAAAAAACACAAAAACATGTTACATAAAAATATTTTACTCGAAGTTCAAATGTTAACCGAAATAGCAAATAACGTCACAGTGTATGTTGATGAAAGACAAATTGGTTACAAAGATGTTTGTGGACGAATCTATGAAAAATGTTTCGAAAATCCTATTTCCACTTTGTTAAATCGTGCGGATGATGTACTTTCTAAGAGACTGAAATTCAAGTATCCCATAGATATCGATCCTCTAACGTTTTCATATAAGATAATGTTATTCAATTTAGGAGGTGTGATCGTTGACAAAAACGATTATATACAAGAAGTATACGCCATGCGTTTATTTTATCCATTGGACTACAGTAACACAAGTAAAACAGAGTGGACTAAAGCTTGGAGTAAAGCTCTTCACAGAAGAATAAAAGAATGCAATTTCAAGTATATTGACACTTTCCTCGAGCCATTCGCTTCGACTGACGTTAATGTTATGTCAGATTTGCAGGAGATAATACCATTTATAAGCGTGACTATAATCGTGGTATGTCTCTTCAGCATGCTGAGTAACATGACTAATAGTTGGATTAGAAGCAAACCGTGGATGGGTGTAGCCAGTGTCATGTCAGCCGGAATGGCTGTAGCTGCCTCTTTTGGATTACTATTTGCGTGTGGTGTAGAAAGCACATATTATAACGTTGCTCTCCCATTTGCAATCCTGGGTAGGTTATATATTAAGTTATATAATGTGTACATGTATTTTGTGACTAATATTTTGAAATTGTTTTTCAGTAACAGAAGTGGACGATTCTTTCGTAGTGATCGCGTGTTGGAGAACAACTAATACTCGTGATTCTGTTGAAAAGCGAATGGAGGATACGTATTAATGCAGCAGTATCCATAACTATAACTTCGTTAACCAACTTTTGTTCTTATTGTATTGCAATGAACTGTCCATTTCCAGTAATTAGAATATTCGGCTATTATGCCGCTACGTGCATCTGTTTTACGTATTTCTTTCAGCTGACGTTTTTCGGAGGTTGTCTGGCTTTGAGTGGATACAGGGAGGAGAACGGTCTTAATCCCATTTATTATAAATCTGTTTCAGGTAAAGTAAAACTTATTAAATATAACTTTTACAATTAATTTCTTTTATGATAGTTATGTTGTCGATTTTAAATAATAACGTAAAAAATCTGAAAGAAAATGAAGCAGAATTTTATTATAAGGGATGTTTATCCCACACCACACAAGTAATGTTTTGAATAATAATTATAGTAAATGAAAATATGAAAATCATAAAATTATTACCATTAGGTTATGATCAGACATACATTATTTAATCAAGAAAAATATAAACATATAACAGTATGCGTTTAAGAAGTATGAAATGAAAAGAAATGTTGTTTAAACAGCATAAAAACGATTCTTATTTATTCCTAACAAACAATTATTACAATGTACTTATATGCTAAATATTCGAATGTATGGCATATAATAATATGTTCAAATGGAAAATTCTTCTTATAGCAGCGGTGAATGATTTTAAGTAAACAAATGAAATTTTACTCTTATTATTTGTAAAACACAAAAGCAATCTAAAGTAATGTAACAAAACTCGTGGTTCTTAGACACAAAAATCTACCTACAAAAGTCGCCTGTATCAAAATTATTATTTTTTTCATTCCTTTAATTAATTGTTGAGTATAAAACTTGATCTTTGCATAAAATGTATTAAACCCATTTTTTTTCTCAGAATTAAAAGTCTGTATATGTTTTTTGACTTACTGTTTTATTGCAGTCTTATGCTATGGAAGAATTCTAACCACATTTTGTGTGCAGTTACCATTAGTATTTCATTGTTTTCACTTTTCCTCAATGACCTTTTCATTTACTTATACTGAAAATTCGATAACGACATACATAGGTGTACAAATATCTTAAGATATATATTCTCACTCCGTAATAACCTGTCATTTCCATCTTTACTTTTGAAATCGTGTCTTCGTTCTAGTTTGTTTTTTCGACACAATAAAGTGTAATTTGCATATGACACAAGGCATTCTATACATCTTTTATTGCCGATACGCGTTTCAAGTCTATACACTTTTCTGTCGGCTGCATTTAATTACAAAATACAATAAGATACAGTATTATATCAAAAGAATGTAATTATTCAACAAGTGTCGTACCTTTTAATGTTTTTAGGTGTTGAGCATATTAAATAAATTGTAGAATATTACAATACATTTTGAAAGAGTTTGCTATTTTTTAAATTGAGCTGCAATTTCCAAATTGCACACCTATATGTTTTCACTGGCCTCTGCCTGTCTGTTCAGTGTCTGTTTTTCCTCAATCTCGGTGACGGTGATAGATAGGTAAACATCATATATGATAAGATATGGAATACGTAGGGACAGAAAACCCCGATTAACTATATACAAACTTTCGGCTTGGATCGAAAAGCACGTCATTACAGTTCAAATATTTTTTTCAAAACGCAGTTAGATAGATGACTTGTATGACTCTGTTTTTAAGAAGAAAAGCACCATGTACTGTACGGTTTTATACTCCGAACTAGGGAATATCTATGGATACCTGTATAGGTCCACAAGTGTTCCTTGCTGGTTAAATTATGTATGGTAGAATTCTTCTTAAAGAAAGTAAAAATTAATATTATTATAATGATTCTGATAGTAATTTAAAAAGTTTGGAATTTTCCATTTTTGTTAGAACTTTATAATTTATTTCAATTTAATCAAATTTGTTTTACTTGTTTATGGGTAAAAATTCAACAAGTTTGTTTTCAATATTTTCCAGAAGTCGGCATTAATAACAGTTGTAAAGAAGAGAAGCAGGAAGACATTTTTATGAAATTCTTCAAGGAAAATGTCGCATCGTTTCTGTTTTATTCCTCAAATCAGATTATTATAATACTTTTGTATGTCGTTAGTTTATCATTTAGTATATGGGGAATTATTTCTTTGAACGAAGGTTTTGATGTTTTTGGTGTTTATCCCGAAAATTCCGAAATCACCCGAGCATTTCGAGTATATTATAAATATTTTACTGAATATCCATTTACTATTCACATAGTGATTAAGGAAACTTTGGATTATTCACACGAATTCGTTCAGAAATCATTAGACGACATGATGGAGAAGTTCCAGTCTCATCCAAACGTGGCAGATATGGATATTTCTTGGTTGAAGTATTTCAAAGATTTTCAACAGCATTCAGCAGCGAAATATTCTTTTATGGGATACGATTTATCCACTAAACAAGATTTTATCGATGCTTTACGAAATGTTTTTTTGAAATTTCCAGGAGCCAAACATTACGAGAATGATATCGTATTTAATCATAATTATACCGATATTATTTGTAGTCGTTTCTTTCTTTTAGCAAGAAATGTTTCGGATAGAATCACGGAGTCGAAATTAATAAAAGATATACAAACGATGGCAGAAGAATTTCCTTTTTCCGTTTTTATACATACCCTGATATCGCCTATAGTCGAGCAAAGTATCGTTATTAGAGAAGTGGTCTTTCAATTTTTTTGGATGACGACGTTAATAAATCTTGTGATTTTTCTTTTCTTTAATCCAAATATTTTGTATTCGGTTGTCGTTGCTCTGTGTATTTTATCTATAACGATCCAAACCCTGGGTTATATGTCTTTATGGGGTGTCGACTTGGACATCGCTTCCATGTTCTTCTTAGTAATTTCTATTGGGTTTTGTGTTAATTACCCTACTCACATATGTTATTCTTTTTTCACTTCGTCAGATAAAACCATAAAAGGTAAATTGAAACACAGTTTATATAATGTGGGATTTCCGATATTTCAAGGCGCATTCTCAACCGGTATAGGTGTGTTGATTCTTTTACACAAAACTGTGTTTCTAAGTAAAGTTTTCGTTAAAATAATTGTGATAATTGCGGCTCAAACTGCGTTTCATGCATTGTTTTTAATTCCTGTCGTATTATCGATCAATCGGAGTTTCTTTTGTATAAATAAAACTGGAAAAACATCATATGCTACATAAGATGAAATGAACAGTTTTAGAAAAGCCCATAAATCTGTTAATTGTCGAAAATAAAACAATTCAGTGTTTAGTTAATACATTTGTTGTTTTTCAGATCGATAAACTTTCTTGTCATTTGTGTATGTAAAATACGTAATTACAAGTTGTAGAGTAGATTTTTGTTTTTGTATATTAAATCAATTTAATTCAATACAGACTTCTTAAAGTATGTAACTCTCAAAGCTGACAATTTAAATTTGATGGCGTTTAATTGTGTGCTTTGAAATAACACAATTAATTGTTCCCAAAAAATGGAATCAATGCAACTTTTAAAAGTTTTTTAAGTGGAGTTTAGGTTTTAAATTAAAACTGATAAATCTGCAATATTTAATAGATTATCAAATACCTAATAAAAGAACAAAACAGAATGTACAAATTAGATAATTATGTGTTTTTCTACATGTATTGTCAATTAATAGCGATTAATTCGTATCCAAAATATTATTGCAGGGTAGATTAGTGAAGTCGATAAAACTGTAAACCCTTATAAATCATAATTATATAAGTAATATGTGATCGTTTTGTCAACTTTTTTTATTACTGCAAATTAAGGCCTTAGTAAACTTAATGATTTTATATTCTGCTTTGGTGTAGCTTTTAATTTAGTGAATGTGTCTAAATTTAACTACTATAAATATTTCCAAGTGTCAGGTAAGATGCGCTATAATTGGTATGTATTATCGTAGAATGTATGAAGATCAAAGTGATCAACGTTCGATTAATTATTTCCACACAATAAATAAATGAAATTGTTGTTGCTAATTGTGAAATAATTTGCCTTTACACAGTTGTACATAGTGTGTAATAAATAGATAATGTTGGCTTAAGGTGGTAATGTGTTGATTAGTTTAAGTAATTACGATAGCATGAACATATGGCTATTAATAATAAATACAATTACCGTATAATAATACTGCATTTTCCAAAAATTCTAAGAAGGGGT